GTGAGAGCAAGGGCCCCTAAAGTGCAGGTGAGGACGACTGGCAAAAAAAAAAAAAACACAAACTCGCATAGTTTTTATGCACTCGTTTAAGACTTCTCGAAGGTGGAAGCTATATTCTTTTTATCTTTATTTTCAGTCTATGTACTGACTCTCTCCCGCCCTCCTCGGGAGCCGTCTGTGCCTAACATTGTTTTTCACAGCTTCTAGGATCGGGGGCAACGCAAGCTCTCTGCATTTCCGCTGGTTTTGCATCGCCTCAGTGAACGGTACACGCCTATAACCAAATGACGGCATGGGGAAAGAACTCCATGAACGACGATATGTGATGACGTCATAATTTGGTGCGTCACGCTATGCGATGCATATGGTGACGTCACATATTTTAGAGATCTGTGACTCGTCACTTGATGATTTTTAGCAATCCTTGTGTTGGCGCTCAGACCACTCGACGCCGACTGATTATGTACATTCGACGGGGCTTTTAAGGGTTTAGCCTTAATAACAATGCCTGTATATTGTTCATGGCCATTAACGGGTCTAAGAGGTCGTGAGATGACTATTATGTGTCTACTTAATTTTATTGTTCTTACTTCCATGACCTATTCAGTAAACGGTGCTTCAGAGCACATCCAGACGGGTGCGCTTATGTAATGAACGTTTTGATTCGCAGTTCGCCACCGTGCTCAGCCGTGCCGGGGGCCTGTTGGGCATGTACCTGGGAGTGTCCATTCTCCTACTACTTAATCTGGCTGACGCCCTGGCGACGGCGCTTGTCCAGTGGATCTCCACGAAGCACTGGCGCCAACGTTTCTCGCATCTTCGCCACGAATTCCTGACGAGACCGAGTCGCGAGAATAAACCTCCGCTGTCACTCATTTTGTGAACCATCGAAAAAAAAAAATGAAATTATTATTTGTCCTTGCAAGCTTAAACTGCTGCGCAATCTGTGGCCTGCATCTGGAGTTACGTCGTGTTCATGCCATCGATCCTTTTCAAGCATATCGGTTTTGTTGCAGTCTTTAAAAAGCTGCAATTTATCAATTATTAATTAGCTATTTAATCAATGCTTTTGACGAATATTTATTAAATGTATGATGCTCTATTGCACTTTTATGCCTCTGTATCGGTCAGTTTTTGTGGTTTGGTCAGTATAAGATTCGTGTGCCAGAGCCACTGCGAAATTATAAATCTAGTCACTTCCTTTTGGCAACATTGCCCCTCATTTTCATTGACGTAATTAGCGGTATTCATTTGTGACACCAAATACACATACAGGGCTGACGTGACATACACCCACGGCGCAATTGAAACAACAGTAGTTATCATTAAAAATCACTTTATTTCTGTATCAAGTTACAGATCGACCTGCATTTTTTATTTATACAATGCAGCGGGTACCCAGTTTGATAGCTTACTTATTAAATGATACATTGGCCAAATAAAAAAGTGATTTATTTTTACAATAAAATATAACGTCGAATAATAGCAATCTGCGCCCTGCTAAATCGAGTCTGACTGTACAATAAAGAAAGTAATTTGTGTTGTTTTACCTGCAAGACCCGTAATATTATTATGACGTACACGCCGTCGTGGGTGGCCCTGGCTTAATTTTGACCACAAGGGACTCTTTAACTTGAATCAAGGTACGCGGGTGTTCTTGCATCGCACCCCGCTGTTGAGATATGGTCGCCGTGGCCGGGAATCGAACCCGCGTCCTCGAACCTTCAGCTTACGGCTCATGGTACCAACATGATTGTCTTCATTCAGCTTTATTTGATTTGCCGAATAAATATGTTTGGGGGCTCGACAGGTATGACTGGTCTAGAGCGTTCTTTCTGTAAAGCACTCCATGTGGTCACCGTGTGTTGAAACGTAACCGCGAAACAAAAACGGCATTTCAGAATCGGCGCCACTATTTTAGTAATTTTGGCGATCAATATCGACACGCTGTTCAAACCCTGGCGTCAACTCTCCTTCAGCAATAACCGGTGTTTGAGACATTGTAATGCTTTTCTTTCAAGTGACAACGTTTCCTGGCAATTTGTGACAACTTAATTCCCCCACCCCACCCCCGCGCACTCGTATCTTCTTCGCTGTCTCGGCCCTAGCGAGACCAATTTGCGTAAATGTGGCCCGCTGGCTGAGGCGAGTTTGAGACCCTTGCTTTCTTACACGCTAAGCTATCTTCTGAGAGTCCTAAGAACTGTGAACCGAGGTTTACGGCATGTCGTCAATTGCTCGAATAACCCCGTTGGTAATGCGAAAGCGCGTTGGCGATGTGCCTTAGAACGCTGCGCCATTTTTCTCCGAGCTGCATTTGTCGGAGAAAAATGACGCTGACTTTTTCTTTATTTTCTCATTTTTTCTCTCTTGTTGTTGTCAGGTGACCGCGGTGCTTTTATGGTAGGCGTGTGGTAGGCGTTTCTTAAGCGAAGGTCGATTTTGCAGGCTTAAACTCAGTCCGCGTCCTGAATAAAGACTGAAGTATCGATCTCAGATCCTGCCATTAGCCTTTAGCCATACTTCTAAGCAGTGGTCGCAGAACAACGAAAGCAGTGGGCAGGTTATGATTGCTACTGTTTTCTTCGACTCACACGAGGGTATACGCTCAGTGCAGATTTTCGGTGTTGCCATGAGACCTCCATACTGGAGCACCGAATACAGCTGAGCTAAATGCCCTTCGTGTCATTATCAGCAATCTAAATTCGCAACACCTATCTTCAACACCGTTGATATTTCTTTGGCGTCCATGCTTTTTACCATGGATCGTAGGATTCGTGTAACCAGTCACGGCGCCCCTTTGGAGAACGAGACCAGTGCACACGCGAAAGGTGAGTTTGGTGCAACTTTCGCCTGACATTGAAAGGGGGGAATTATATATGTGTGAAAATTCCTGCTTAAGCGCCACCATAGCCTACGCCGGCTTTGAGTTATCGCTAGCTATTCCCACAAGCGTCCTCAAGGGCACGCATCAGGCCAGAATGGGGGATAGATTACATACCGACGGGGCCCATTTTTCTTCTCTCCACCTTGTTTCCAGTCACAAAATAAAAACAAAGCGAAATGATCACTTGCACAAGGTGTGTAATTTTATACCTGCGGTACACGTAGAATTCAACACACGCATCGTATACTACAGTTGCAATGCTGCACTCCGGAACCAAGACCAAGTGGTTTTCTCAGCTACTATTTGACGTGACTGAACACATCGCAGAAAAGTCGCCACGTAGTGACATTATGACACGCATTATCAGACATGACATTATGCCCTAAATTGTGCAAAAATTTTATCAAGTTAGGTTTGCTTAATCACGAGGAAAACGGGCTCTTCGCTGCTTGCGGTTTATTCACTCCCTGTGTTACTTTCAAACGTCATTAACATAAAAACCAATTAATAAATTAATCCAACAGCCTTATTAAATTTTAATGAATAGGAATGTACAACATGATGCATGCCCTTTCATTGAGGAAGTATACGCATAGGACGGACACAAGATAATAGTAGCAACACAAACAACGTTTGCACGAAAGAAAGGAATTTTAAGGGGGCTTTTCTTTGTTGATACAACCGTAATGAAGATTATCAGATAACGAAGCCACAGAAGGTATAGGGGACGTTTAAAATTATCGTTGTAGTCATTATTATATAAATCAATTTGCAGCACAATTTCTGCAACATTGTTAGAAAAGTACAATTAACGTCCCCTGTACATTCCTTCATTATCTGATGAGCTTCATTATTTATTTATTTATTTAAGACATACTGCAAGCCCATTGAAGGGCCCAAGCAGGAGGGGCATCACGAGAAAAACAAAATTTTGGCACAATACACATGATACACTGGTTAAAATAGTTTGAACAAATACAGGAATGCATCAAAGTTACAAAAATCCGCAATACACGTGGTACACTGTTGGAAATATATTATACACATACACAAGAGTACATCGAAGTTGCAAAACAAAGCAATCAGAATTCCAAATGTTCAAAGGAGTGAATATTGGTCACAGCCGATTCAGTTAGTTTATTCCAATCTGTAATAGTACGCGGAAAAAAGGAAAACTTAAAAATATTAGTTCGAGCGCTGTACGGAGTCAGAGATTCGAGGTGTCTATGCCGTGTTTGTCGGGAAGTGAGTGGCTGAAGGAATTCCTCGGGTTTAAGTGAAAGTATGTTATTTTTAAGCAAGAATAGAAATTTTAACCTTTGAATTTGACGGCGTGATTGAAGTGTTGGGATGCCATGCTCTTCCATTAATCTTGTCGGCGAGTCACTGGGACGATAGCTTGAAAAAATGAATCGAACGGATTTACGCTGTATCATTTCAAGAGCATTAATATTACTTTTTGTGTGAGGATCCCAGACAGTGCAGGCGTATTCCAGTCGCGGTCTAATTATGGATGTATAGGCGAGTAGCTTAACGTTTGTTGGGGCCTTTCTAAGCTTGTGTCTAAGGAAGCAAAGTTTTCGGAATGAAGCTGCACATGTGTTTGTTACGTGTTTGTTCCAGCTCAAGCTTATAAAGGCCCCAACAAACGTTAAGCTACTCGCCTATACATCCATAATTAGACCGCGACTGGAATACGCCTGCACTGTCTGGGATTAGGATTGTATAAACATTATGGTTGTTTCTGTTCTTCTCCTATCATGAATCTGTATATGCTAGCTAAAACCTCTGTCGTTCTCTGTCATATGTCAATGTGGTTTGTTTTGTTGTGCTTTCGCACAGCACCACATCTTGGCTATCGATGAGCCAATCGATGACACCCGACTGGTGACAAGCACTGAGGTTTTGCGTAAACGCAGGATGGCTAAGCGAGCGCCCGACGGACCCTGGTGTGCAGACCGGTGGCCGGTTGACGGGTGTGTGGGCTCAGCTGAAGGACGCGGTGACCACGTACCGCCTTCTGTTCGACGAGTCCGGCCTTCCGGGTCTGCGCTTCGTGCTGGGCTTTCGGCACCCACTGAGGAGGCTCGCCTGGCTGGCCGTGTACGCCGTGCTCTTCGTTCTCACAATGCGAGACACGCACAAGCTGCTCACCGAGTACTACGCCTACGACGACCGCGTCAACCAGGAGATCCTGGAGGTAACGCTACGAATGCATTATAGTTCCTGGTCGACTGTACACCTGTGCAAAGACGTGCGCCTGGTTGGGGGAAGAGAGTGCGGCGGGGAAGGTGGCTTAAAAGTCGCTTTTCTTCAAAGAGCATGGTTATGACTGAGCTTTTTTTTTTACGATAATGGTGGCCCAAGGCCCCTGATGTTGCAATCCAAGAACTGTTTACTTCCTATAATTGCTATAGCCATTATATGGACATTATAATAATTGAACGTGGGACCTCTGAATTATGAGTGCGACGCGGTAACCACTGAGACACGCAGAAACATCTCCTTCACTGTTCAAATGGCAAGCTATTTATATCTACCACTTATCGCTGGTGACGGGCATCTCGGGGAGAACTATATTGTTTCCAGCATTACCATCACCATGACGCAATGAGGGCGCGTCGCCACATCGTCACAACGCGTCGGCACGTGCTCTCATATCCCACGCGTACTTTGCCCCATGGAGAGGTGGCAGGGTGGACCTCACGCGTGGGCTTATCTCGTAGTGGGGACAATCGTACGTATTGGCTGGCCTTGGGCTTTCATCGGAACGGCTCTGTTGTAGTTACCGGGCGCACAAAGGTCACTACAATTGTTGCACAGTCTCTGTTTGTGAAAAGGGCACATTTTTCAGACACAGAGACAGCAAAGTAACAACTGAAACGCTTATTCGCGTTAATCTGTACCTGTGAGTATACGTTTCATGCGTCAATGCGGGGCACGTTTCGATCCGCTTGCCATTCTGCGCGTGACCTTCCAATTTGTTGCTGTCACGTTCATTGCTTCGATTTTGCGGCAAAGCTGGGACTTTTAAAGACGATACTCTTTCTTGGGGACCTTCGACGCAAAAATTTTGGTCTGTCTGTCTGTCTGTTTGTCCACTCTTAATGGTACCAGGTACTTGAAACAGCTGACCTCATCCGCAGCGCCCACCAATGTTGCTCAAGCTTTAGCGTTCATACTTGTGCAATTGTCCATTAAAAAGCAATGATTGTGCATGTCTGGGGCACCATAACAACACGTATATATTCTGCATGTACATCTTTTACTAGAAACGACATACATGAGTAATTTTAAGGACCGTAGCGCCTATCACGCTGCGCTGACCACGCAACGCTTGCCGGTAAAGGCGAATGTTTCCAACGCTTTGCTAAGACGAGACGGTGGTGGCACCTACCCGCCGCCTTGCGTTCTACACCTTATCACCTCTGAGACGGGCGCGCACACCACTCTCAGAGCCACATGCTTCGTTTTTCAAGAAAACTGCCAGATGGCGCTCATTTCTCACGACAGACGTGACTTGGTGCGCTCGTTCACCTCCGCTGCACGATTGAGGTACTCTAACGCAGCGCCTCCAGAATACCATTCATCGATTTTCATGTGCAGAACGTCAAATAAATGTTTTGTTCACTCTCTCCACACGCAGGACTATCGTCTTTCGAAGACATTTGCAGATAAACATGCAGATACGGGGACAATTTTTTTTTACTTACGGCAGTCCAGGGACCAAAGGCAGGTTATGGTAAAAAGCTGGTCATCGCTTCATCGTTGTCATTTCATTTTTTCATCAACTGTAAAACAGGTTTGGGTCCACGTTAAAAAACCCCAGGTGGTCAAAATTTCCGGAGTGCCCTCCACTACGGCGTCTCTCATAATCATATCGCGGTGTTGGGACGTTAAACCCCACATATCAATCAATTGTGAAGCATGCTTTTTTTAACTCAATCAACGGGGTGAAGGTGGGGTTGGGCACTGAGATGAAACTTTGCCCTCGTAACTTGAGAAACCCGGCACGCCTATGCAGCTGCGATTGTTTTGTTTGGCGCTGCTCATTCTTGCCACGCTTGTAAAGGCACGATCGAGGCAAGACGTCGCTTCGAGCATGCACCGTGTGCCCGCATTGCATTATGAAGATTTATTTTCACTTTTATATCGCAGTAAATACACGTCATCACCATCATCATCATCAGCCTGACTACGTCCACTGCAGGACAAAGGCCTCTCCCATGTTCCGCCAGTTAATCCGGCCCTGTGCTTGCTTTCATAGTAAATACACGTATATACGTGCATATACGCATGTGTATTTACGTGGTTGGGGCGCGTGTTATGTATATGGTAAAAATTATTTTGCGTATTCACTATGGTATAGCTTCATTAAAGACAGGCTGTAATTGGGCAGTGAATTTCGCCTTGAGCTGGTATATTGCTACCGCATGTCGAAGTAATGGAATACACGTCCTGCATACAATTGTTCGCATGAAGTTGATGACAAACTGTATCATGATGGCTATTCTACAAAAAAGAACGAAACAAAGTCCCACGTTTCATTTTTTTATCCCTGTATTGCTAATACTGTTGTGTTCGTTATTATCATTTCCTTGCATTGAGAAAATGCAGGTGAACGAGCAAGTTGAGACGGAGGTCTTGTGTTCATGAGATGTCACACCACATTTACGCAAGGATGCGTGCTGTCTTCATCCCGGCACTGTAAATAACCATTAACATAAACCACCTGGATCATCGCAAGGACCACGCCACTGTAAGCAAAAACTATCCGAGTTTGGGGTTTTTGCGGCTCATGACCTCTGAAAACTCTCTTGCGTTTAAAATTACTACCTCGTGTAGGAGTAAAAGATGGTACATGACATAGTTTTACCACCACCTCTCAGGCAAGTAGTAAAAGGATGTCAAAATCCAGTTTTACCACTTAGGGAGTTTTCAGTCACGTGATTTTTAACCTGCGTTTCAGAGTTTATTACCACGTGACTGCAAGGTGCAGCTGCTTCGGTGGCTTTTGCCCCATTGTGACGCTCTCCTGAAGGTACGCGAGGACCACAGTTTTTTTTTTTTTTTTTGGGCATCGCCGTGCCTCGGGACTGACATCGAGTCAACGCACTTTCACTGGAACTGGGGGCAGCATAAGCACAACAAGCGTGAACAGCATTCTGTGAACGAAAAAGAAAAAAAGACGGGGGGGGGGGGTCTCAAAAGAAGAAAAAAGAAAGAAAGAAAACCTGCTCAGGAAACTTGTTCTGCATATTTTCGCAAATTGTTGGCTTTTGCTCGGCGCTGGCCTTGGAGACAGACGGTGCAAGAAGCTGGGTATCTGTGTGTCTGGTTGGGCTGATGGATCTCACGTGTTTCCTACATCGTCAAACGACCGTGCGCTTCCGAACGCCTCCAAACCTGCACGTCGCGGATATCTCGCTTCCGAGCCGAATCGCGAATATCTGCCAGTGGTAACAAAATCAATCTGGTGTCATCGTCCGTGCTTGCCTACTGGAGAAGCAATAAGCAAAATGCTTCACTCTGTCGTCGGCACCGAGCCGCGGCCGCCAGTGACCAGTGGGAGTGTGTCGCCGGGGCAGGTGAAAGAAGCATCGCATATGTTTTGTTCCACAGTAGGCGATGTCTGCATGAGTAAAGTGCTGCCCGAATTGCCCACCTCATGCACCAACTGCTCTCAAACATGTAGCGCAAAGCCTATACGAGGCAGACGGGACCAACAAACGGCTGCCGGTGAGCACGAAGAAAACCCGGACGGTGGTATTTACACCGCCCCGTCCCCGTAAGATAGTGGCCACGTGTTCATTTGTGTCTGGAACGACGACGAAATTCGCACAGGATATGTGTTCTGTGATCGCCAGCTGTGTTTCATCGGATAGCCGTGCTCCTCAAAAAGGCCTAGTGCGCCGTCGGTAAGAAGCTTGTGTGCAGGCGTGCACCACTCCTCTACGCCCGTTGTGATGAATACGTGCTGCTACTGTGTTTGTGCACCGTCGCTCAATGAAAATCATTGAGCTACCATAGTTTGTGCGTACTTAGGTATATTTTATGGACTTGTGCATCAGCAGTGCTAACACGCGTGGCGCCATGAGCCCGGTGTGCCAAGTAATTATTGGATACTCAAAAAGGTGAGATTGGGTAGATTTACAATAAAAGGTCGGTGTGACATTTAGTGTCCTGCAGCCCACCTTAAGTTTACGCTTGCACCTTCAACTGTTCTTGTTTATCGATGCAGAAAAAGAGCTCTCTTACTGGTCCTACAGGGCCGGTCAAAAAGTCGTGCCTATATATATACCGGACTGTCAAAGTGTAGTTGAGCAACGCGTGAAGTATGTTCTAGTGGTGTATTATTCTGCATTTGTTGTGTGTGCGTGTTTGTCTGTATGTGAATCTATGTGTCACCAATTCTGCCGTTCAATAAATTCAATCAGTTCTGCTATTCAATAAATTTGTCGTCTCTGGGCGAATGCACCCGTCAATTTTTATTTTTTTACCACCAGAAATAACTCCCAGAAATAGCCTCAAAAACCTTGTGAAGGTAGTAAAAATTTACTCCCTCTATACTCGCTGAAAACCTCACTGGGGTAAATATTTACTACTCTCCCTACGTTCAAAAACTCAGTTAGCACGAGAGTAAATTTTTACCTCGGTAGTAGGTGGTAAAAAAAACCCAGGAAAGGTAGTGCGCTAGAGGACAAATGGTTTACCCAGTTTTTGAGGTTATTTTTGGTCATTTTCGTTTAGTGTGCAGGTGGTCAAAATTTCCTGAGGGCCCTCCACTACGGCGTCTCTCATAATCATATCGCGGTGTTGGGACGTTAAACCCCACATATCAATCAATTGTGAAGCATGCTTTCTTTAACTCAATCAACGGGGTGGCACTGAGATGAAACTTTGCCCTCGTAACTTGAGAAACCGGGCTCACGCCTATGCAGCTGCGATTGTTTTGTTTGGCGCTGCTCATTCTTGCCACTCTTGTAAGGGCACGAACGAGGCAAGACCTCGCTTCGAGCATGCAACGTGTGCCCGCATTGCATTATGACGATTTATTTTCACTTTTATATCGCAGTAAATACACGTCATCATCATCATCATCAGCCTGACTACGTCCACTGAAGGACAAAGGCCTCTCCCATGTTCCGCCAGTTAATCCGGCCCTGTGCTTGCTTGCATAGTAAATACACGTATATACGTGTATATACGCATGTGTATTTACGTGGTTGGGGCGCTTGTTATGTATATGGTAAAAATTATTTTGCGTATTCACTATGGTATAGCTTCATTAAAGACAGGCTGTAATTGGGCAGTGAGTTTCGCCTTGAGCTCGTATATTGCTACCGCATGTCGAAGTAATGGAATACGCATCCTGCATACAATTGTTCGCACGAAGTTGATGACAAACTGAATCATGTTGGGGCTATTCTACAAAAAAGAACGAAACAAAGGCCCACGTTTCATTTTTTTTATCCCGGTATTGCTAATACTGGTGTGTTCGTTATTATCACTTCCTTGCATTGAGAAATTGAAGGTGAACGAGCAAGTTGAGACGGAGGTCTTGTGTTCATGAGATGTCACACCACATTTACGCAAGGATGCGTGCTGTCTTCATCCCGGCACTGTAAATAACCATTAACATAAACCACCTGGATCATCGCAAGGACCACGAAGGGATTCTCGGCCTTAACGCTCGTTTCTCTTCTTCGGCGTCCATTATCCATTGGCCCATTCGTCTTTCCTTCAGCCGTGCAGCCATGTGAATTAAATGTTGCCCACTCTTTGTTATCACAATGCAGCAAAAACAGGTCCAGTTTCCAGCTATCACTGTGTGCAACATGAATCCGTGGAGGAAGTCGGTGCTGTGCAGTGAGGAAAGCTTCCAGGGAAAGATTGAGAAGGCGCTGCAAGCCAAGCTCTGCTCGATGCCCAACAGGAACGTGACTGTAAGGACCCCTCTGCTTCCACAAAATATTTAGGTCACCTCAGTTAGGTATTGGCATGGAAGTCGTTAATTAATGAGTAGAAAGTGATGACCTTGCTCCCTGTCTCGCTCGAAGCTGACCGATGAGGACATCGCCCTGTCCAACCGGCTCAAGCAGTGGATTTCGGAGGAGCAACGCCGAAATTTGAGCCGCGCCGAGAAATTGGGCCACCAGCTGGAGGACATGATTCAGGTGTGCCGCGTCCACGAAGGGGACTGTCTCAGCACCAAGTGAGAAGTGGCGCTCGACTTCCACCGTTTCTGTCGGGCAATGAATATATGTGGAAACATGTCGGCTATATAATTATCTCGGCTGAGATCGTATCCGTTGTCATCGTACCTTGTTGTATGGTGTGTGCCACCACGTTGTTGTACGGTTTTCGGCTGCTGACCCGAAAGACGCGGGTTCGATTCCAACCGCAGCAGTCGCATATCGATGGAGGTGAAACGTGCTATAGGGCCCATGAACTTACGCGCAGGTTAAAGGATCCCAGCTGGTCGAAATTTCCGGATCCTTATAATCATATCGTGGTTTTCGCATGTAAACCCTAATTATTATTATTATTATTATTATTATTATTATTTGTCGTATGCTGCGCCTACCAGTGACAACTTTATCAATGACGTGCATATATTTCACCTGGAGATTTAACGCCTTTTCATTTCGTCTCTTCATCGCAGGTAGTTGATTGTAGACCTATCCAACATGTGTGCAGTGGGAACACCTTTTTCTGAACGCTTCGTAAGGAGTTCTCGTTCGGTGTTTTCACACATTATCGCAGGATCCTAGAGATACGAATGGTTCCCCGTTATGGCAACTGCTACTGCCTCGGCTGCAACAGCAGTCGTTTCAGCTGGCAGGCAATGCAGATGTCGGATCCCGAAAATGGCAAGTACCATTTCACGTCTGTCGCCCGAGGTCTTTTTGCACTTTACGTTTCGCAGATAGATATTGTCACAAAGACACAGACACGCAGGTACAAAATAGGGCGTTTTTCTTTCGTAACCCAAGGGCCACAAACGCGAACACCAGAGCACGCGCACAGAGAACTACTTCGTTGTCCTCTTCAGAGGCTGGCTACTATAGTTGCCAGCCTACCTTGCGTCAATTCCCCCCTTTCAAGAGCGACCGTCCCGGTCGATTGACTGAGATGCTAGAGGTGGCCATGTGTGATGGTTAAGGACGTTCGTCACTGTGTTTGTTAATAGCGGACGAAAAAGGATTAACATCAACAATGAATGCGAACAAAAGAAGCGTTATATTGTACACTAGAGAACGAAGTGGCAGGTGAAAATAAAACTATATGTCCCACCCTACACGCCAAGCGTCACGCAACATGTACGAGAGTCAGACCTCTATTATGCGGAGAGCTCGCGGCTACGCTTACTCCGAGTCCAGCGCGTAGAGTTCTCAGTTCGCAAGAGGAAAACGCTGCCTCACAGTTTGGGTCCCCGTCGTCCCGACATGATGCGATCGTCGACGTGCGCGAGGGCAAAGGTGGCACGGCTGGAGCGGCTGGAACGGCTGACGGCACACGGATGCGCTACCGTGTGCAGCGCCGTTTAGTCAGACGTCGCGGCCAGCAGTCAGGGTCGCAACTCCTGAGGCTCAGGGTCAGGCCCCGGCTCACGAGGTCCATGCCCGGTAGGCCTCGCCCACGAACCTGCTCCCGGCCACTGCACCCAGGCAGGAGCCGTTCAGCAGGCCCCGTCCTTGCACCTTGTACAGGCCGGCGGACTCGACCCCGAACGAACACGCTGGAGCTCGACCTGGCCGACACGTACGGGTCCCACGTCCGGCTCAGGAACGCTCCCCGGAACCCGTCATCTCGAGCGGCGCACTGCTTCGTCTGCCTTCGTGGCCTCCACGCTCGAGCTATCTTCGCACGTTCCTTCTTCTTCTCCTCTTCTTTTTCATTTCTTGTTATCGCCTTCGTGCCACCTGCCCTCCGCTCGTCTTCTTCAGTTTCGGTTTGACGTTCCTCGGCGCTTTTAAGTCCTTTTAGCCACAAATCATACCTAAACACAGCAATTTTGTGTCCTTTCCTTACACCATGAAAGAAAAAAAAATGATCACGTCAATGAAAAAAAAAGCCCACGCTGTTGTGGATAATAAGGAAAAAGTTCGAAGTGTTCATAACTCGCGCGCGTGGTACGGTTTCATCCGTACTACATGGACTACTTCTGGACGTGGACGTCTTCGGTTTAAACTGGTGTCGGAGCTTTGGAGAACTACCTCGTAATTCACGTCACTGAGGAAGCGCACAACTTCGTAAGGGCCAAAGTAGCGCCGCAATAGCTTCCCCGAAAGCCCACGATGTCGAACTGGTGTCCACACCCATACATAGTCACCTGGTTGATAGTGGACGCTCCTTCGGCCTTGGTTGTAACGGCGAGCGTCGATATCTTGCTGCGCGCGAATGCGGTTCTGTGCAAGCTGGCGGGCTCCCTCGGCTTTCTCAACGAAGTCGTCAACGCTGTCATTTCCGTTGTTGTCCTGGTCTACGGAGAGCATAGCGTCTAACGGTGTTGTGACGCGATGGCCATAAACAAGCTCGAATGGTGTTAGGTCTGTGGTCTCTTGCACTGCGGTGTTATAAGCAAACGTGACCTACGGCAAAATTTCATCCCACGTTTTGTGCTCTACATCAACATACATAGATAGCATGTCGGCCAATGTTTTATTTAACCTCTCCGTCAAGCCGTTCGTTTGGGGATGATAAGCTGTTGTTTTCCGGTGGTTGGTGTGCGTCAGCTTGGTGACTTGTTGCAATAACTCTGCCGTAAATGCTGCGCCGCGATCGGTTATGAGAATAGCAGGTGCACCATGGCGCAAAACAATGTCGTGGACAAAGAATCTGGCGACTTCAACTGCAGTTCCCTTAGGCACAGCTTTGGTTTCTGCATAGCGAGTCAGGTAGTCGGTCGCGACAATTATCCACTTGTTTTCTGAAGATGACGTAGGGAAGGACCAAGAAGATCCATTCCTACTTGCTGAAATGGTGCTCGAGGTGGATCTAAAGGTCGGAGGAAACCGGCGGGCTCTGCGGGTGGAACTTTACACCTCTGACAGTCACGGCAGGTGCGGACATAGCGCTGAACGGACGAATACAGCTGTGGCCAGTAGTACTTCTATCGGATGCGCGCTAATGTCCTAGCAAAGCCTAAGTGACCGGCCGAAGAATCGTTGTGGCACGCCTGCAAAACTTCCTCACGCAGTGCCATTGGAACGGCGAGGAGGAAAGTTTCCTGGCTGCTCTCAAGATTTCTCTTGTAGAGAACATTGTTATATGTAGCCAAATCACGCGAGAGTCGGCGTGGGACGATAACGTCTTCTCCTTGAATATGCTGGATGACAGGAAGTAGCTCAGTGTCCTCACGTTGAAGCTCAGCCATCCGCACCACATCGACGATGCCAAGAAACGGTAAATCTTGTTCAGTGTCGGATGACGTCGGGGAAACAGGAGCACGAGACAGGCAGACAGCATCTGTATGCTTATGTCCTGATCGGTAGACCACCGTTATGTCGTACTCTTGAAGGCTCCAGCGGGCGAGGCGGCCTGATGGATCCCGTAGATTGGCAAGCCAACAGAGTGAATGGTGGTCAGTGACCGCTCGAAATGGCCGGCCGTATAGGTAGGGTCGAAACTTGCTGATGGCCCAAACGACTGCTAGGCACTCTTTTACGGTGGTAGAGTAATTAGCCTCTGCTTTTGAGAGACTGCGGCTCGCGTAAGCGATCACACGCTCTGCGCCGTTCTGCCATTGAACTAGAATGGCTCCGATTCCCACGTTGCTGGCGTCTGTGTGGATATCGGTGTCGGCAGTGTCGTCGAAATGTGCCAGCACTGGAGCGGTCTGCAGTCGATTGCGCAGCTCTACGAAGGCTTGTTGTTGTTCTTCCGTCCATACGAAAGGCACATCTGGCCGTGTCAGTCTTGTAAGAGAATCCGCAATTTTCGAAAATCCTTCGACAAAACGGCGGTAGTACGCACAGAGTCCGAGGAATCGCTGAACAGCCTTTTTGTCTCCAGGACGAGGGAAATCGGCAACGGCAGCCAACTTCTCCGGATCTGGTCGAACACCCCCCGGGCTAACCACGTGGCCGAGAAAGTTGAGTTCCTGATAGCCGAAGTAGCACTTTTTGGGCTTGATAGTAAGGTTCGCTCTCCTTATTGCAGTGAGGACACTTTTTAGCCTTGAAAGATGCTCGTCAAATGTGGTTGCAAACACAACGACATCATCCAAGTATACAAGACACGTCTGCCACTTTAGTCCAGCTTGTACAGTATCCATCATGCGTTGAAACGTGGCGGGAGCGGAACAGAAACCGAAAGGCAGCACTTTAAATTCGTAGAGCCCGTCAGGCGTCACGAACGCGGTTTTCTCACGGTCGCCCTCGTCAACTTCGATTTGCCAGTACCCTGACTTGAGATCTAGTGATGTAAAGAACTGGGCGTGGCGTAGACGGTCTAAGGCGTCATCAATCCGTGGCAGGGGATAAACATCGCGTTTCGTGACTTTGTTGAGCCGTCGATAGTCCACGCAGAAACGTAGTGTGTTCTTTTTTTTTACTAAGACAGCAGGTGACGCCCACAGACTTGTCGAGGGTTGGATGACGTCATCATTCAGCATTTCTTCAACTTGACGCTTAATCACCTCTATTTTCTTCGGGGACACACAGTATGGATGTTGGCGAAGAGGCCGCACCGACTCCTCGGTAACAATGCGGTGTTTTGTAACGGTGGTACGCTGAACTTTCAATGCTGTGGAAAAGCAGTCCGAGAATTCCCTCGCAAGGTTTAGCAGCCGCTCTTTTCGTGAATCTGGCAAGTCTGGATTAACGGGAATGCGGCTTCCCAGGTCAGCACAAGCTTTTGCATGCGGTGAAGTCGTATCCAATGTGCCGATATCGAAAAAGTCGGCGATTTCACTGAGGAAAGCGACAGTAGTCCCTCTAGGAACGTGCTGAAACTCATTGCTGAAGTTGGTCAGCAGAACTCGAGAGCGTTTATTCTCTAACCGAACAAGGCATCGGGCTATGCATATGTTTCGTTTGAGCAGCAGCAGGATATTTGCCTCTGCAATACCTTCATAGTCGTTGAATTCGTCAAAAACGTCGCAGGCTACCAAGGTGAACACGCTACTCTTCGGCGGTAACGTGACGTCATCGTCAACGATTCTCAAAGCATTGACGTAACTGCCGTGAGGGTTGCGCGCTAAAGCGTGTGCCGTAGAAAACGTCACTTGCGACTGTTGCAAATCAATCACGGCTTCATTATCACGCAGAAAGTCCAGTCCGAGAATTAGGTCCCTCGAGCAACTCGGCAGTATTACAAAATCTCCGAGATACGTAAATCCGTGAATACTGACTCGCGCTGTGCACCGCCCCACCGGAGTAAGAAGATGGCCTCCTGCCGTACGTATCTGCGACCCGGCCCACTGGGTAGAAACCTTCTTCAGCCTGCAGGCAAGACCCATGCTCATAACGGAAGTGTCTGCTCCAGAGTCAATTAGCGCCATTACTTCTTTGTCGTCCACAGTTACCGCAATGTTTGATGTCACCACTCTTCGCATCACGTTTGACTGCGTCTGTACATCTTTTTGCTGCTGTCTCTGTCGTCGTAGTGGAGGATCTTCCGTAGAGTCAGCGTCAGCGGCCTCACCTCCGGAGGTCGCTGAACTCAGTTTTCCCGACTTGCAGGACTGGGTGAACGGCGTCTTGGAGCGCCGCGTGAAAAGGCTGGGCTCGGTGACCTGTAGCGAGCAGGCGACGACGAGCGAGGCTCTTGTGACCGATGGTCGATACTGCGACGATTCGAGATGAAACTCTCTATTTCCTGTAGTCACTCGCCAGGTCGTGGACGAGGGGCATTAGGCGAAAATCCACGGAGACCCACACGACGGTATGGACATGTTCGGTAGACGTGTCCGGCTTCCCCGCAGTGGAAACAAAGGGGCCTTAGGTCGGTTGTACGCCAGATGTCACTCTTTCTCGGTCTTGCTTCGGCGATCAACGGTGAGCTGCGAGGGCGGAAGCCTACCTCCATTTGCTGAGCGTGTCGCTCATTGGGGTAAACACGCTGGTTGAACTGCACGATGGAGGACGTCGCACTGCTTCCGCGTAGCTCATTTCGACGCAGTGCCTCTGTTGTGGCGCCTCGGATGGTTGGGGAGCGTGAACGGCTTGCCGTAGCTCGGCGCGTACCATCTCCGCAATGGAGAGCTGCTCTGCACGTGAAGCAGTCACCTGCATCTTTTGTAGCTCTTCCTTAATGAGAGCTCTGATAAGCTCTCGCAACGCGCTGATGTCATTGCCGAGAGTGACAGAAGTGACCTCACTTGGGTTTACACCACGGTTATACTGCCTGGCACGCTGTTGAAGGGCCTTCTCCATGGCAGTGGCTTCCTCATGGAACTCCGCAAGTGTCGCAGGCGGGTTTCGAATCAGGCCGGCAAAAATCTCTTCTTTAACGCCACGCATTAGGTGGCGAACTTTCTTGGATTCGGACATAGAGGGCTCCACACGTTTGAAAAGCCGATCCATGTCCTCTACGTAGGTCGTCACCCTTTCGTTAGGGCCTTGAACCCTTGCCTCTATAGCACGCTCCGCTGTCTCTTTCCTGTCCTCTCGGGCAAATGCTTTGAGGAACTGCCGTTGAAACTCATCCCATGACGTAAGCGCTGCTTCATGATTTTCAAACCACGTTTTCGCGGAGTCCTCCAGGAAGCAGTTCACATAGCGTAGCTTACGCTCTGGGGTCCAATCGTTGATGACGGCGACCCGGTTGAAATGCTCGAGCCAGTCGTCGGCATCTTCAAAAGCAGCTCCGTGAAATGACTTCGGCGTCTTGGGCTGGTTGATAACCAGGTGCGCTGGTGCTGGCGCGGTGACGTTAGGCGGTGTTTGATTCATAGTCCTATGACGTTCAGGCAGCAAACCATGCTGCGGCTCGAGTCCCCGGAGACGACGGCTGGATCGTACGTGCTCAGGGGCAAGCTCGGCTGAGCTACTCGATGGACTTGCGTCAGGGGTGCTCTCAGAGGACCGTATTATCTACCGTACCCCGAAATTCCACCAGAAAATGTCACAAAGACACAGGCACGCAGGTACAAAATAGGGCGTTTTTTTTTTCGTAACCCAAGGGCCAGAAACGCGAACACCAGAGCACGCGCACAGAGAACTACTTCGTTGTCCTCTTCAGAGGCTGGCTACTATAGTTGCCAGCCTACCTTGCGTCAATATGTATTGGGGGTCCGTGACGAAAGCAGTACAAATTATAGTTCGTTTTTCACGTGATCGTCGTTTGATAAACAATCCGAAGTTGTTTCGTGACCACATTTTAAAAGGTCTGCGCATGTCCCTGAACATGGAACCGGAGGAGTTCCTTCCTCTTACTGTGGACGCTGGCTTCTACATCATGGTCCACCAAGCCGGGGCCCAGGAGGAGGTCTTTGACAATGCTGTGTACGCTCCGCCTGGCGCCACAACTTACATCGGAGTGTCGAAGGTGAGGAGCCCGTGGTCCTTCTGTTGGCAATGACCCATACCATCTCGCTTGGTCACAAGTTTACAGTGCGTAAAATACTTCTCTGTAACTTCCTTCTTATATTTCCCTTTGATTCCCCGTCTCGCACTATGTCAAGGAAACTTCATTGTAGTTAATTGTATTCAAATAGGTACATTCATGATCAATATAAAAGTGAAAACTGAAATTATTTTTTTTTGGGAGGCCATAGCGGTTCGGCGCAGTTGTCTAACGGAAAGGTGTTCTCCACACTAAATGTTCAAGTGGAATGGTATGCATTTTTCTAGCCAACACCTAGGATTTGGATTGGTATCCGTTCATAAAGAACAATCGTTGCTTAAAAACGAACGGTTTTCTTTGGCATTGCTCACAACATTGCAAGGTGCACCTGAATGGAAGGAAGTGCACGAGGCTGATTCCCGGCGTAAATGACTTTGAATGAACAAACTTTCTGGAAACCTACGTCCATTCAGCATCGACATCTTACATGCGCCGAAGCTATGGTTCATAGTCCGTGGCCTCCATCTGCTATCCGTCAGCACTTATAAACATTTGCGACTGATATAGTTATACGAGATGACAATATTTGTGTGTGTGTGTGTGTGTGTGTGTGCGTGTGCGTGCGTGTGTGTGTGTGTGTGTGTGCGTGCGTGTGGGCGTGCGTATGTGTGTGTGTGTGTGCGTGGGTGCATGCAATTTGACTTAATTATTTGAAAGTGGTTTTGCTTAGGTGGCTGGCGATGTATACGAATGTCCTTTCTTTTTTAGACCATTTCCAAAAATCTCAAGGAACCGTACAAGAATCCCTGCCAGGATCATTGGCCCCCGGAGCTGGAAAAATATGTTGTCAAAGGCATAGTGTACACAAAGCGGGTGCGTATGTATTTGCAAAACAAGGGTGCAACTACACTACAGACACAATTAGACTTAGTTATATGATGCTTGAAATTTGCGTCGAGGAAAGTGTTTTCAGGGGTTTTCATCTCGTTTAGATTGCAAAGTGACGTTGACGCAAACATTATCTTATGCCATAACGGTGACATATCTACTGAGCGAGTGACGAATACTTATTGATCGAGCTCGTAGTTCTGTGCAATCACTGTGCAGGCCTGCGACGAGTACTGCTACCAAGTGCACATATTCGAGAAATGCGGATGCCGCTCCTTCAACCATATCAGGGTGTTCGCTCCGCAACTTATGGAGTCACCGGTATGTGTGGACATCCTTAGAGGTAAGGGGTGTACTACACCATATGTCACCTGTCCATACTTTCATATGCATATACCAACACGAAGTATATATGCAGGCCATAGGATATAGTTAAAACCAGCTATAGCTCTGGACAGTTTTGTGCGTGGTGAAGCTCCCACGGGAATTCCGCTGTTGCAACAGGCTATGTAGACTTAGTCGCTTTGGGAAATCACTTATTTTGCCGACAGTGTCCCTAGTTGTTCACAATTGTTGAAAAATGCCTAGTTCCATTTATTCATACTTCCATTGCAGATGCGCCACACAACTAATGCATGCTCTGTATCCACTTTCGTCTGATGTAATATTGCGCACTAATATGCATTCGACAATGATTATTATTATGCTTCTTTCGCGTTGAAGTTAACAAGTGTATCACGAGGCGGGTTAAACAACGCCGGAACCTCTGAATGTGCCAGCTATAAGACCGCCCTCTCTCACTGCAATGGCTGCATTAAGCGAGGCGAGACCACCTTGCGCATAGAAGCGCTAATTTATTACGTGATTAAAATCTGCGCACGAGTTCCTTCAAGCTCTCACAGCGGAAGAGCTTACTCATCCTGGTCCCAAAGACTAGAATTGTTAGCATGCAGCAATATATATATATTATCTCGTGGTACTGATTTTTTTTTCTCTTTTTGCATGATATATTGCAGATAACTGCGCCAAACATAGCCTGAAAGTTTCACTGGCAACACACACTGCATGAAAAAAAAAAAAAGAAAGCCAAACGAAGTCGTGCTGTCAGCAACTTCTTTTTTCTGCTTTTTAGGGGACTGCGAAAGATCTGTCGAAGCGAAAATAGACCGGAAAATAATCACGTGCAAATGTCTGACGGCTTGCGAGTAAGTCGGTCACTTCTCACCTCATAATGGTGGCTTTCCGACGTCGAGGTTATTCAGGTGTCTCGACAACCACGCTAGATAATTATACTATTTAGATGCGTGGACTTTAATCGCAGCCCACGACAACTTGCATTATCTAATCGCAGGGTGCAGTATTATCAAACGACATCCAGCGCACTTACGTGGACCAGCAAAGTAGTAAGTAAATATTTTGCCCACCGTCCATAATTTATTCGAATTCGCAAAAGAAAAAGAAGTCTAGAATAGACATATCTCGTATCAAACGCATGGACGGTCCCTAATACAAGTTTTCCGATTATCTTAAATTTAATTATTCATACCAGTGAGTGTACCAGTGCAATAAGTAACCATTCATGTTCTCCAGTTCGCTCATTGACTCGATATGGAGGGGGTCATGTGGCTGTGATTGCCCTCTAAAATTTTTTTGAATCCCCCCTCTACCCCAGTACAAAAGCGTAACACAACGGGCAAGTTGCTTGCGAAGCAAATCACTTGTATTTTAGGTACCTCCCCTCCCCACCTCCGTCCCCCATAAAAGAAGTCCTGCCGCCGCCCGTTTTTGGCACCTGCCAACACAGCTGCTGAACACACTGCAAAAACCTCGGCAGGTCAACGTGAAGTTGGCAGCTTATGCAACGTTTGCACATTCAATCTTGAGGGAATTTTGAGAGTGCGTCTCTTGCGCACTTGATATAAGTTCCAGTGCATGGAACGCATCTCTCATCGTGACACGAGATTCGCATGTTTCACCGCGTATAACTCTGTTTCTGTTGAGTGAGCTGAAAATTAAAAAGAAAAAAAAAAGACCGTTACAGCGCAGATATAAGGTCTGACGAGCACGTTGCTTCGGGTAAGCATACCGGTAGTTACTTTAGGCGCACACTCTTCTGTCGCTTTAATTAGAGCAATCGGTGGACAACGTACACATATTTGTGCCATCATAATAACTACGCCAGATGAGCTTGTGTTACGGGATAATGGCTCTTTGAAATCTTTTACATGCATGCTGACACCGAACCTAAACAGAGCATCCAAAATTCGTTTACATCCTCGCTGCCCTAATGTGTCGTAGGAGGAACTGGCATTAGATTGAAAGGACACTCGTATCAATTGGTGCACGCAAGAATCTTGATTGCCATCGCATAACTCTGCCTGACGCCTGAAAGAGCGATGACCACTTCTTCCTGTGGTTCACACTTTTCACGTTACGTTTCCCCGTTACCCTCTGCTTCTTTCCAACAGATGAATCCTGAAGGCAGCGAACTCTCTCTGCCGCCAAGGGAAGGAAAAGGGTAAGTGAGGTGGAAAGCTTGCTAATAGTACAGCGTAATAGGAACTACAGTTGCCATAAAGGTCATAGAAAGGAGCTAGTTGGTTCGCAGTTAACATTGGTTTGAGCAGTCGAATAGAAAACGAGGGACGAAGAGAGGACAGAAAAGGACGTCTCTGTACTAACAGCTAACTAGCAGCAGTATACACAGTTGCTAGTCATATATGTAAACAGTTTTAGTCAATTGTACTATAAGTTGTTGATACGGCGATGTCCTTGTCTGGCTTCTTTTTGACCCTCCTTTTTTAATCCTGCGGCTCGAATGAATGTTAACTGCAGCAGTTTATTTTGTCAAAGATTCACCGTAGGCACATTGCCTTACTAGAAGGATGAGTGTTTATTTTTGCTCAGTTGGTGGGCCATTCTCGCAAGGTGGTTGTACGATCGCGATGAACGCTTCACCTTCCGCAGGATTCACGTGAGGGTGGTGGTTTTCATGAGAAGCACGAAGGTCCTCTACAAGAGTAAGGAGCCGAAGTTAACGGTAAGTACAGGAGGACAAATGACAACGGCACGCGAATGGCTTCTCGTGTGTAAATATTTAGGCCAGGATTTATTGTCTTCTGTAGCGTTTGCTTTCGCTTGTCTTCGGCAACATTTTTACATCCATATTGAGGCGAAAGCTTTCAATGTCTCATCAAACGCGAAAATTGACCTTCGGCTTCCCGCGGCGTTGGGAACAACACGAATGAGGCAAAAATCGTCTGGGTTGACGTCACCACATGACGTCATAGTGACGTCACAAATCGCGGAAATTTGTGACGTGCAACTTCTTGTGAGCGTAACAAAATCTATTCAATATCACGTACAGTCATCATCATCATCATCAGCCTGACTACGTCCACTGCAGGACAAAGGCTTCTCCCATGTTCCGCCAGTTAACCCGGTCCTGTGCTTGCTGCTGCCAATTTATACCCGCAAACTTCTCAATCTCATCTGCCCACCTAACCTTCTGTCTCCCCCTAACCCGCTTCCCTTCTCTGGGAATCCAGTTAGTTACCCTTAATGACCAGCGGTTATCCTGTCTACGCGCTACATGCCCGGCCCATGTCCATTTCCTCTTCTTTATTTCAACTATGATATCCTTAACCCCCGTTTGTCCCCTAATCCACTCTGCTCTCTTCTTATCTCTTTAGGTTACACCTACCATTTTTCTTTCCATTGCTCGCTGGGTTGTCCTCAATTTAAGCTGAACCCTCTTTGTAAGTCTCCAGGTTTCTGCTCCGTAGCTAAGTACCGGCAAGATACAGCTGTTATATACGTTTCTCTTGAGGGATAGTGGCAATCTACCTGTCATAATTTGAGAGTGCTTGCCGAATGTGCTCCACCCCATTCTTATTCTTCTAGTTACTTCAATCTCGTGGTTCGACTCTGCGGTTATTACCTGCCCTAAGTAGACATAGTCTTTTACACCTTCAAGTGCACTATTACCTATCTCGAAGCGCTGCTCCTTTCCGAGGTTGTTGTACATTACTTTCGTTTTCTGCAGATTAATTTTAAGACCAACCTTTCTGCTCTCCTTCTCTAACTCCGTAATCATGAGTTGCAATTCGTCCCCTGAGGTACTCAGCAATGCAATGTCATTGGCGAAGCGCAGGTTACTAAGGTATTCTCCATTAACTCTTATCCCTAACTGTTCCCATTCTAGGCTTCTGAAAACCTCCTGTATGCACGCGGTAAATAGCATTGGGGAGATTGTGTCCCCCTGCTTACACCCTTCTAGATTGGTATTCTGTTGCTTTCTTTATGAAACACTATGGTAAAGAAAGCAACAGAATACCAATTAAGAAGGGTGTAAGGCAGGGGGACACAATCTCCCCAATGCTATTTACCGCATGCTTACAGGAGGTTTTCAGAAGCCTAGAATGGGAATCACGTACATTATGCTGAAATAAGCTCGAAATTTGTGAGCAATTGTGTTTATTGTTATGGATAGCTCTGGTATACGAGCGCGTGGAAGTGATTTAAACCATAGGTATAGAGAGCATCTTGATGCCAATAAAACGAATGAGTGGGAGAGCCATGTCAGCTGAGGTCGCCTGCTCTGTTAAATCACATATGTGGGAAGCAGTGTTGGTGTATAACGCGGCACAAGTGGCACCGTTGTCGGTAACGCGTTTCATTTTTCGGTAGTTTAGTAACGTACTAGTTACCATTTCGTTGCTGGTTCGTGCGCATGATTGCCTGCTTTCAAATTAAGGCTGATATTTTACCTGTGATTCGCTTTTTTACCTCTGTCCCTCCGCCATCTTACAACACAATCTGAACAAAATGAAAAAAAAAAAAATAAAACAACAACTGAGCAAAAAGGTCTTAAGTTACAGCAGAGCAGTCTGAACAAAATGAAAAAGCAACAACTACTGAGCTAAAAGATCTTAACAGCAGGCACGCAAACACACACAAACAAAACTTAGTCGCAATTGTCGCGCAGCTATCCAACCTGTTCCGCAACATCGGTGGCCTGATGGGCGTCTACCTGGGCTACTCGTCGCTGCAGATCTTCCACGTGCTCGACGTGCTCGTAGACGGTGCCTACTCGTCGCTCTCGGGCGTCTGGAGCCGCCACAAGAGGAACCGCCAACGCAAACGTGGCCAGGCCCCGATGCGCCGTCGTGACTACCCGCTGTCCGAAGAGATTCGGTACCCCGTCATTGCGCAGCCTACCATGGCCTACGCTCTGTGAAGCCGAAGCCGGAGAGACGTACCCCTGTATCGTCACTGCACGGTCGTCCTTTATTAACAGTGTAAAGTGCAACGCTATATCCAGCTTCGCGATTCTCTCACTTCCTCAATCAAGTAAAACCGGTGTACAGGGTCGTCTGCATCTAAGGTGACCACCTAATTAGTGTCAAATATCTCGTAAACGATTACCTTTATAACATGATTCGTAACGTTGTTACTGCGTTTATAGATACAAAGATTACACGATACCACATAATGGGACGTAGAGTACACGTAGTTTTACTAGCTTGAATACTAATAAGGTCTTAACCTTAGCTATGCTCGACCCTGATCATTGGCATTTGAAGCGTCATTATCCTTCTGCGCGGCATTTTTTTTTTCACAGCCATAGCTTTACGATGGCTACAACAGCCATATCAGGTTGTCGCCGTAGCTGTTCGCAGCCCGGTATTTTACCGTCAAGCCATGCCGATGCTTGAACCTCTTTTGCAAAAGACATTGTCTTGATGTCTGGCAGAAACCACGTTAACATATATGATATATAACGTGGTAAAAAATAACTAACAATCAGGTGTCACATACAATGGGAATTGCGTAATTGGTGGACAGTTGAATGCTTCCAACCCACTATAGAAGAAGCTCAGCCGTAATTCGTATTCGTCATCAGCCACAACATCAACAGAGCGCACGTAGGACCTTGCAAATGTAGAGCGGGTACCCTGCTTCTGCACGGAATGACGAATAATGGGGTAGCGGGTGCTTCCCAACTTGACAAAAATATATGTTACAACGTATACCTTACAAGTGTTCTCCTAAGCCCTATATAAGAGTTTCCAACCGAATCTAGATATGGCACTCTTCCAGATTCCCTTGTTTCTGTGCCTCGATTCATAGATTAGTCAGTCATAACACTCATAAGAATGGGTTTTCTAGTTTTCATTTTTCTGTGGTTTGTAGTGAAGAGTGCATGCAGGTGACATGCAGGGGGGGGGGGGGGGGTTCGTGAGATGAAGCACGTGATGACAAGTGGTAGTTTTACTCGCTCCATGCATCGGTCTCCTAATCACTCCGCTGGTTCTCCCGAGTTCATGCGGTGAAGACCGCCTGCGCGGGGAAAGCTTGCCTTTTGCGAGGAAAACCCAACTTCCTGGGGCGTTGCACACTGTCCGGAGTTCGATATTAGAAGCGTTCCGATCATTTTTGTTCAATGTAGCCAATATTTTCTAATGCAGTGACGTTAACGTATTGTGCGGTACGAAAGTTTGTTTAAATATCCGGAGAAGTACCACCCCTTAGGGCGACACCGCGGGCCGCTCCCGCGTGGGGGCGGTTAGATCAACTGTAACCGCCCCATCGCAGGCTCTCTGGGCAGATCAAAGTTGGTACTGATATTCCGAGATCTTGAGGGTCGAGCATGAATTCTGCTCTGTCAGGTTCTTATCCGCGTATCGAGGAGCACCGCCAAAGCATGTGCTCTAAATCACACGTTTCCCCGCAGTGAGGGCACTGCGAGCTGAAGACACTTGAAAATGTTTATTTGGTAATACTGTCAAGCCTAACAGAGGGTCATAACAGAGAGGACATACATAAATAACGTACAATGTTCGTAAAGTTCCTTAATACCTTCACAACTCACAATGAAAACTGGTATTCTCTCAATTAACAACTCAACATTCAAATAACAATTCAAGAACAATTCAAAATTCACAGTCATGTTTCAAAATATTTGCTATGAACATGAAGCCGCTTACATCAATTGGCACCGAAAAAAAATTAATTTAGCAATCACATAAATGTGCTTCTGCAGCATTTTCGAAGTCAGTGACACCTTTTAAAACAACAATTTCGTTCGGCAATTTGTTCCACATTTCTATGACACCTGGAAAAAAAAGAATGTCGAAGTGTGTCAGTATTTGCACGATATGATTTTATGACGCAATCGTGGTTAGTTCGGGAATTTCTTTTGCCTAGAGAATGTAAATGTTTGAGCATATCAATCTTAAGTTGACCGTGCATTATTTGGAACAATACTTTCAGCCTATATTTATTTCTACGTAGTTCAAGAGGACCTAGGTTGCATCTCCGTAACATCAGTATGACTGATTCCTTCCTTCGGTACGTTGAACAAATAAAGCGCGCCGCTAGTTTCTGTATTCTTTCCAGCTTCTTCTTAAGAGTAACTTGATGGGTACTCCAAACAACGGATGAATATGCTATTACTGTCCTAATGAAGGTGGTGTATGCAATATGTTTTACGTCACGCGATGCATCATACAAAGCATGAAAGTGAGATTCGGATAATAATTAGTTTGTAGCATCCTAAGGGTCATCGCCTGTGGTCTCGTGAGCTTTTTGTGTGGTGGAGGAAATACTCTTCTTTCCAGATAGAAGTGCTTTGTGAATTCATTAAATGTGAATAAAGTGTCTCGGAATTTTTCAACTCTGCACTGTGACAAGGCTTCCCCTCAAGCACGGAGAGTTAGTACCCACCTTTGGGAAGCACTCTCTCTGCTCTCTATCCTTTATCTCCCCCCTCCCCCTCCCATGTGCAGGGTAGCAAACCGGCTGCCTATAGGCTGGTTAACCTCCTTGCCGTTATTTTCCTCCCATTTTCCTCCCTTTCTTGGGAAGCACTGCTGTGTTCGCGAATAGTTCGATGCAAAACATATTTCGATTTATCTGAGCTCGAAATACTCAGGTTTGGCTAACAACACCAACTGTTGTGGGATGTCGCATACGACGTAGCACAGACCCGAACATATACCATGCAATCAGGTAATATAGAGCATTGCCTCGCCTTTTGAACAGCATGGTTGTTACGCTATTGTGCTAACACAACTCAACTAGCCCAGCTCAGGAACCCTGGCTAATAGTAGGGGTGTTGCCGAAGTCCAAGCACCAAGATACACTGGAGGACGCTCGAGATTCGCCTTCAAATGTTCAACGCGGTAGCGTAATCTGGCCCTGTAAACATCACCTCGTCAATCGCTGTCCTCGCTTTGCTCCTCGGTGGACACCTAGACTGTGACGCAAGGAAACGAGTGTCTGTGCTCGTAACACTTGCTGTTTCGAACTGTCCTCGAATGCATGGTGCAAGTACAGTTGTGAAGCGCTCACTGCGCCACCATTGTTCACTTTACGAATCGGACGCCACGCGCAGCTACACACATTATTGATGCTGTTGCTGATAGTGATGATTAATTATCTCTTAGCGCTTTGATGGATGGGCCTTCGAAACACCCATCGTTGCGTCTTTCACATGTTTTGACGCTTAGTGCTACCATACGCGCCACGCATGCATTACATGCGTTCAGGAGGCTCCTCCCTCTACATGACACTCGTATCGCGTTTTTTTTTTTCGAAGCAGTTCAAAGGAGTGGCGTAGCTCTGCTGCAGATCGCCTGCTTACCATGCAGACTGCTTGATTTTGATTCGCCCAAGAGTCAAAGATATTTATGGAATGTTTAGTTAGATCTTTCTCGATTTCCTAGTCATGAACAACGCTGATGTTTTGCTCACAACCAACGACACCGACGTCGACATCGACACCTCAATTTTTGCGAAACAAGCTCTTTAACGCTGTCGCGTTAATATACGTGTTTGACGTAGCAGTTCAAGTGGACCGAATCAGCCCGGCTAAAACCATGGCTGAAAATTGGTTGCGTGATAAAAGTGCAATGCTCGGTGCCGACAGCGGGTCGTATCTGTTTCCAGTGAAACGCAGATCTTCGCCATGTATGAACGCGATGACGGTCGAATGTCCGCATTGGTCGCCCCTCCGTGATGACATGCACGGCGTTTTCGGCCTCCATAAATTCGGGTGAAGTCAGTCCTTGGATAGCTCCGTCGATATGATCTGCAGCCATGGTATTCTAGGTAACTCTGTAGCCATGGTGTTACGGGGCAACCATCTTGCAGGGAAGATGGCTTACCACTTGTCGAGTTGATTGCTGCCTCCCAGATGCCGTTAACCAGGGTGCCTGCACGTCGGTGATGAAGAAAATTTATCATTCGAGGTTGGTGTGTTTGGGGTAGATGCTTTTTTAAAATGTGCGCATAACAACCACCATGGTATGGATTTTCTGATGCGTAATAGAGAGTTTCTCAAGTAGGGATTTCCTGATTTACGAGATATTGTTTAGCTGACTGGTAAAGAAGTCAGGCGAAGAACATTAGATAACTAAGAAAGGCAGCGACGCAGCAGAAGTTGTATGATGTGTATTTGCTGCGCTGTTCACCCCTCAAGACTGTCGTTTCGGCAACTATAGCTCACCTTCCAACGCGGCTAACCTTCACGTTTTGTACCTTTGTACAAAGCGAAGGGCCATGGCAGTGAAACTGTCGTGCCTTGATGATTTGATTTCTACACGCAGCTTTAACGGAGCTGTTGGTAATGACAGAGTTATGCCTATAGGTCCTCTGAAAGAATGTTTAAACAAAAAAAAACCGTTTTCCGTCGAATGTTTCTATTTTCAGACAATCTGCAGATGTTTACAACACTTGAGGTTTTTTACTCAACAGGTCTGCATCCAGAAGCTTCTAGCACTCACTAAATGTCTGTCATTCCATTCATTAAAAGCGCACATTTAGCGAAGTGATGGTCCCAGCTCTTACACGTAAGAAAAGTGATTTACCGTTGTGTTAGAATGATAAGTTCGAATTTTGGAAGCGGTTCTTTTTTTTAATGAGAATGAGCTTATGGTTTTGTGAGTAATGTGGCACACGAGAAATGACACTGAAACGTACATGAAGCTCTCACCCTACAACAAGCAAATGAAGCAGTGGAAGACAGCGCGAAAGCCGCTGCGAAGGCCGGCATAGCCTCAAAGATTAAATGCCGGTATGTTTTTAGATCTCAGAACACTGGCGGCGCTTCAATCTTTTCTATCTTCGCCGAGAGGTAGCGAGACTTGTCCGCCTTATTGAGGGCATGTTTTTAAACGGGATTTGTGTAATTTACAAGCGCAGCGGAACAAACACAAGAGAAAGTTACATGTAAGC